TGTGACCTCCAGAACTCAGAGGTAATAAGTCTGTATCGTTTTGAGCCACTGTGTTTGTGGTCATTTGTACAGCAGCCACAGGAGACTCATACATGTCCTTCTCCCGTTAGTTTGTGAGCTCCTACAGGACATATGTCGACACTTGAGTCACTTCTGTGTTCCTAACACAGAGCCTGGTGTACAGCAGATGCTCGGTGAAGGTTTGTTGGATGAAAGCAATGGAGGGAAAGAGGGTAGGGAATGAGGAGTGTATTAGTCTGTGTTCTGTCACTGACAACAGAATACCTGAAACTGGGGAATTTATAAAGAAATGAAATTTATTTCTTACAGTTTGGGAGGCTGGAAAGTTCAAGGTCCAGGGGGTGCATCTGATGATGGACTTCTTCTTGGTGGCGACTCTCCACAGGGCCCTGAGGCCATGCAGAGCATCGCATGGTAGAATGGAGAAAGCGAGAGGATGTCCACATGCTTCTTCCTCTCCTTTCCCCGGTCCACTCCCTGACAAACCATTAAACTATCAACCCATTAATCTACGAGTGGATTAATCCATTAATCCATGAGGACTCTGTTCTCATGATCCAATCACCACCCAAAGGCACCCCCTTTCAAATGCCATGGTCTGATTTCCCACCCTCCTAACACTGGTGCAACGGACGTCAAGCTTCAGTGAGTCACAGCGAGGAGAGAGGGCTGCAGCTTTCAACTCAGACAGACCTGGATTCTAGTCCTGCTCTGCCACTCATTGTGTGTAGTAGCTTTGAGCAAATTATCTAATTCAAAACTCTATTTCCTCACTTACTAGATACAGACAATGCTCATCTTTCAAGTGTTAGTGAAGACTAAATAATACAAATAACACTGGGCCTTAAAGTTTTGGACAATGGCCAAGGAAAGCAGGGCTGTGAGGCACGTAGCAGGCTCTCAGGGCTCTCAGGCCCTGTTCACTCTCTGACTCTCCATCCTGCCTCCTCTTCACTCCACCTTCTGCCAACAGAAACTTATTCTCTCTGTTCTGGAGGCCAGAAATACAAAATCCAGGTGTCATCAGGGCCATGCTCCCTCTGACGGCCCAGGGGAGGATCCTTCCTTGCTCCTTCCAGCTTCTCGTGGCTCCAGGCGAACCTTGGTATTGCTGGCATGTAGGTTCACCACTCCAATCTCTGCCTCCGTCCTCACAGGCCTTCTCTCTGTGTCTCTTTTCTTCTTATAAGGACACCCGTCCTAATGGATTAGGACCCATCCTCCTCCAGCATGAGCTCATCTTTACTAATTAAACTGTGAAGATGCTGTTTCCAAATGAGGTCACATTCTGAGGTACCAGAAAGGACATGAATTTAGGGTGCACACTATCTGACCTGGTACACCCCCCTTTGCCACTGCCATCTACCATTCTCCAGGCCACCATCTTCCTTCCCTGGGGACACAGACACCTGGCTCACAGTCCACCTCCCCAGCCCAGACCTGCCACCACCCTAAACAACTTTGTTCTACACTAGTATGACTTATCTAAAACCCAGCTTCTTGGTTCCCTGACCTCCTTGGCCCTGGTAACTCATTTCATATCACTTGAGCCACCCAATCCTAGGTTCATCCCATGGACTCTGTCATCACCTGCAGCTGCTCTCCTTCTGAAATCACACATTCACGGAGCCTCCTGTCTGGTCATCTCTCTCCTCCTCCAGATTGCCTGTCCAGTAATAAATTTATAAGTGCCTGGTATATCAGTGGATAAGACAAAGACCCATGCCCTCATGGAGCCAACATCCAGGGTTAACACAGCAATTCTCTCCTGCCAGGGGACCCTCTTCTGATTGGCATCTTCCTTCTTCTACCTCCTTCCCACCTTGCTTGGATTCCATAACCCCATCAACCACTTGCCATGATCCTACACTCCAGTCCCCCATTGTCCTTCCTTGGTACCATCACCAGTTGTGGATGCCCCAAATGGTCTGCCTTTCCTACCCAGCCTGGAGAGTAGTGCAATGAACAGTCGTGCCACCCTGTACATCTTCTCCAGCTCCGGTTATCTGTCACCTCCTTTCAAGGCTAAACCTGACAATAGTTGTCTACAAATGCGGCATCATTTCCTTATCTCCTAGTCAAACAGCAGCCTGACCTCTCCCCTGTAACTCAGACAGCTCTGGCTGAGGCCCCTACTGACCCCACCTGAGTCCTAGGGACATGATTTGCTCTGTCTCACATGCCATGACAACCCTTCTCCTTCCTGAATCAGACATCCCTGGATTTCTTGCCCGCATACCTTCTTCCTATCCATTTCAGGGCCCTTTGCAGCCTCTTTTCCCTTTCTCCACCACCAGCACCACCCGAGGCACATTGATTTCCCATCCTGCTCTGCCTTGGCCCGTCCTCTGCTCCAGTAGCTTCAGTCACCACCTGCAGTGGTCTTTGTGACTGACTCGCCAACAGCCTGCTGCTCTCTCTGCTCATCATGACTCTGCTGTGCGCTCTCCACTAACTGACAGAGGAGTGGACAAGCTGAGCCAGCTGCATCTGCAGAAGCAGCTCTGGAGGCTTCCCACCAAACCCCTGAGGATGTGCTCACTGCTGGCTGTGGGACCGGGCTCCCAGCAGCAGCTGAGTACTAGAGTTGGAGGGGCAGAGGAGTTCATGAACATGGGGTAAACTTGGACCAGTTAGGGACAGAAGACAGAGAACTACCAGACACATTTTTTTCTTTCTTTCCCCCGAAGGGCTGTTCTGGCAGGAATGGTGAGTCTCCATGGCCTGTATGTGAGTCGGCAGCTGGCTGTGTCACCTTGCACAGCGGCATCGGCTCAGTAAGGCACCGCCTCATGACTGCTTCTCTCCTTTGCTGCCTCACTCGCCCCTTCCCCTCACTCTTGGCAGGATCACACCCACCAAGTCTTGACAGGTTAGCTAAGACATTCCCAGTGTACAGGAACACGTTTCCCTAAACACTTAACTCTGAGTGGCCAACCGGGGCTGAGGCGAATGAGCCCCATTATCTTCAACATGGAGCCCACATTTAGTACAGAAAGGAAATCAATAACAGCTTCACTTGGGGATAACTGAAGTTCAAGTGCTCAAAATATTTGAATATCACTTCTGATATCAAGGCTGCAGCCTCTGAGAGAGTAAATCCAAACTCTTCCATGGTCATGACCCTAGATTGCCCTCATTCACAGGACCAGACTCCACAGGCATTTGGGGAAACTACACACTGGGGACACAGTGACAAACCCCACCTAATATTAAGAGGCAGTGCTGACAACCCTCAGCAGGGACCCCACAGGACACAGCCCACAGGTGTCCCTCCCACACACCCACAGGACATCTTGGTCTGTGTATATAGAGCAGCCACAGAGCCACAGGGCCACCTCTATGGCTCTAGGAGGTCTCATGGTTCCTAATGTCCCAGTACAGATGAGAGGAGGGAACAGAGAGGCAGAGAGGCTGGGCTGAGTTAACACTGCCCTGGATGTCTACCCAGGAAAAGGTAACACAGTGAATAGTCCTTAATATATCAATTTTAGCTAAAGGAATCGATAGCCCCTTTCCACACGAGAGACAAGCAACACAGAAATCCATAAAATAGTTTTAAGAATTAGTCCATTTTCTGCCACTAATAACAAAAGACCAGAAACTGGGTAATTTATAAGGAAATGAAATGTATTTCTTATAGTTTTGGAGACTGGACAGTCTAAAGTCAATGGGGCGCATCTTCTTGCTGATGGGGACTCTGCAGAGTCCCGAGGTGGCACAGGGAATCACATGGTGAGAGGGCTGAGCGTGCTAGCATGCTCACTTGCTCTCCTTATAAAGCCACCAGTCTACTCGCATGATAACCCATTCCTCCATTAACCCATTAATCCATGAATAGATTAACCCATTCATGAGGGCAGAGCCCTCACCATCCAATTAGCTCTTAAAGGCCCCACCTTCTCCACACAGCCACATTGGGAAGCAAGCTTCCAAATGAGCTTTGGAGGGGACACGCATTCAAACTATAGCAAGGGTTATTACAATTGAAAGAAATATTGAGTAGTCTGCATGGCCGGGCAGAATGGCAATAGAAAAAAGATAAAGAAATCCAAATACATCTCCGACCCCAGAAGACAGCTATGCTGATGCAAGGAGTTTATGTATAAAGCAGTTTGGTAGGTCTGCTAAGAGCTTTCACTTCTGCTTATTGGGTCTTATATACCCAAATAAGCCAGTTATTGAAAGCTGATGTGCTAAAAAGAAACTTCCTGCATTTGCTGGTGTTTTGTAATTGGATCCATGCCTACATCTCAGGGTCAAGGCTGTAACATAAACCTATTTTGATGAGGCTAACAGCTTGATTTATATCAGCACTTCTCAATGTGCACGTACAGGACTTGAAGCTGGTAGCCAGTGGGGGAGACACAGCAGAGGCTTCTCATGGTTGACAACGGATCCACGGGATTATACAGCATCCCATTGTATAGATGTACCATTATCTATCTAACCTGTTACCTATCAGTTGATAGTTGGGCAGCTTTTCATTGTTTCACTATCACAAATATATCTCCCATGTTACTGCAACGACATGGTTGTCTATCATCTCCATGCTCTTATGCAATATTATTTTATATTATTTATAACGGCCAAGACCCAAATTACAATATTCCTTGAAGTCAAAACTGCTTTGAATCCTCGGAAACAAAGCAATGGTTACCAAGGCTTAGAGAGGATACACACAGTGTGAAGCCTCGTCCTGCCGCCCCCAGGACACAGGGAGAGGTGAAGAAGCCCCTCCACCCACAAAGTCACACGAATTGGGCCCCCGCAATGAACCGAGAGACAGGGACACCTCAGGAAAATGCCTTTTTAAACCTTCTGGCACATAGTCACCAACCCTAACGCCAAGGACGCCACCTAACGCTCTTCATGTGGCCTCAGACCAAGCTGTGGGGTGTCCTGGCCACGCTGCTACTGGGGGCGCAGGTCCCCTCGAGCCCACCCTCGCGTCCCCGCGGAAGAACATCTAAAACCACATGGATCCTGCTCAGCAAGACGGGGTCTCGGCGCGCACGGCGTGTCACCGGGACACGGCCATCGGCCTCCTCAGACTCGTGCCCCATCTTTCCTTCCTCCTGACTGGCGTTGGCGGCGTTGCCTTCCCCGAAAGGAAAGACCCCTGGGAGCGAGAGGACACCACCGAGGGAAGAGACGCTGGTCGTCCGCAGTTCCGTAAGGACCTGAGCTCACGGGAGCCCCGCGAGGCGCCCGGGGCGCGTGGGATCCGCAGCTGTCCCGGAGCCCCGGCCCGGGGACGCTCGGCCGGAGTCGTGGCCGAGCCTCTCGCCCTCAGCCCCGCCGCCCTCCCTCCGG